AAAAAAAAAAAAAAAAAAAAAAAAAAAAAAAAAAGAAGACGGCAGGAAGGAGCACCTACTTGCTGGGATCACACATGATTTGGCGACCCAGCCTGGGGAAAGACCTAGAAGATCACCTGCCTAAAAATACCTCCCTCTACTACCAACAGCTCCAGCCAAGAAGCCTGGACCTCCTGCATTGCCAGCATCAGAATTTCGCTCCTTGGGATAAAGGAATTGTCTGGCCTATCCCTCCACCCTCCTTGCAAATAGAGCTTTCCCTAGAGGTATGAATTCTTTTATCAGATTACTTTCTAAGATGACAGCTGTTTTGACTGGGGACAGAGAAGAGGCAAAGGAGAGATCACTCTGGAACCTCTCCCTATTGGGATGTCCCATGGCCCTGGACCTGGGGGAGAGCAGGGCTGGGGCAAGTGGGGGAGGGGTGGAGGGCGCAGCAGAAGTTTCCGCTTTCTTCACAAGTTTGCATAAGGCTGTCTGTCTGTCCTTATTCACGATGAACTCTGGTTTGCAGGGGCGGGAGAGTGCTGACCCCAAAGTGGTTGCTCCTGAGAAAATTTGATACATTAAACTCATCGATTAGGAGGAGGATTTATACCACAAAACAAAAGAATTAACTTTATGGACTGCTTCTTGGCAGGAACGGAAGGCAAGCCCCCACCCTACCTAACCTGCACTTTATCTTGCTGAATGAAGTGAACCCTGGTGGGCTGTCTCGGACCAATCCTCAGCCTCAACAAAAAATGGCAAAAACGTGAACTCTGATGGAATGTGAACAATCAAAAGACTGTTTCCACACACACGGCCACCCCAGGCCTCACCGCGGGCTGGCCTGTCCCTAGCGCAAGGTCAGTGGGGCTTCTGCGCGGTGAGATACAGGCCGGAAAGTGCGTCCGTCCCCACCTCCCCCTCGAAGGCTGGTTCCCGGGCCGGGCGCCCACCCGCCCGTGCCCTGCCTCGTCACCCTTCCCGGCTCCGCACTTCCCACGTGGAGGGGGAGCCAGGGCACCCTGCACCCCAGCACGGCCCTGGAGTTGTCTGGGAGCTCAGAACGAGGGGAGGGAGCAGCTGTTTTTTAAGGCCAGGTGACCGGGAAGGGAGGAGCGACGGGAAGGAGGAAGACGAACAGAGGCGTGGGGGAGGGCGCTCGGGCGACACGGGCGCGCTCTGGAAGAGAAGAGCCGGGAAGTAGGAGAGACCCTGGAGTGCAGGAACGTCCGCAGGCAGCAACCTGGGGAGCAGGATCAGGGACGTAGAGGGTCTGGGGAGGATCCGGGAACCAGGCGCGCTGCACGGAGGGGCGCTGCGGCCTGGGGGTCCCCTGCGCGAGGGGTCCGCCCCCGCCCGCCCCAGCCCC